CCAGTTGGGCCAAACCTTCACATGAACAACTTAGAGAGCAACCTAGAACCCCAAACTTCTCAGTATCTGCAATTTGAAAGTAGGGTGACCCGATAAGGTAAAGGTACCCCTGCCCGTACGGGCCAGTCGTGTCCGACTCTGGGTTGCGCGCCCATCTCGCTTAAGAGGCCGGGGGCCAGCGCTGTCCGAAGACACTTCCGGGTCACGTGGCCAGCGTGACAAGCTGCATCTGGCGAGCCAGCGCAGCACACGGAAGCGCCGTTTACCTTCCCACTAGTAAGCGGTCCCTATTTATCTACTTGCACCCGGGGGTGCTTTCGAACTGCTAGGTTGGCAGGCACTGGGACCGAGCAACGGGAGCGCACCCCGCCATGGGGATTCGATTGGCAAGTCCGAGGCGCTGAGGTTTTACCCACAGCGCCACCCGCGTCCCCAGGGTGACCCGATACACATTGCCAAAAAAGAGCATTTGCAGCACCAAAAAAATTTGCATAAAATTTGCATATGGTAATTTATATGTATAGACACAAATCTAGAAATAATTACTATAATTTAAATAAAATTATAAAACAACTCACCATAGTGGAGAAGATGCCAGGCAGCAGGTGCTACTAATTGTTGATGGGCAGCTTCAAGGCCCCTCCAGCTCTCCTTGTGGCTCCTTATTTTTAAACTGGATTTGAATTGGACAAACAGCTTCAGTTAAAGGCCTGTCCTCTTCAAAGGACATGTGGCTACCCTAACTGCAGGGGAAGATCAGTAATGGTGAGCAAACTACCTTTGAGAAAGCCCTGATAAACTGCTGGAGAACACTGGAGGTTTCCATTAGAGAGAGACATTCATATTTGAGCAGAAAGAAAAATTGAGCTGTTCTATTTTAATTTGTTCTGAAATAAATGGATAGATATGAACTTGTATTAATATAGCACCAGGAACAGACTCCAGAATCAGTTCAGACAGCAGAACTATGAAGACAAATGTGAATACCTAAACAAATATAACTGCAACAGATGAAGAGACAGACAAAAATTATTTGTACAAATCAAAAATGAATGAGATCTTAAATAGCAAAATGAATGACAATAGGAAATTGGTGAGTGTTAGAGATCTTGCAAATCCCTGTTCCCAAAAATGCAGTCTGAAAACCATGGCTTTATGCTCTTGGAGGACAGATATAGCCCACTATATTCCTCACAAGTTCATCAAATGTTTGCACCATTGTCTGTTTTTGTGTAATTTTAGGGATGCTATTCAAACCAGAAAAAAACACATTTTAAAAAGAGACAAAAAAGTTTAACACACCACTGCCACAATCAATCCCATCTGAAAATTTCAGCTCACACATCAGAAGATCTTACACAGCAGCTGCCGGATGAAGCTTAGATAGTCCACCTCGGCTCTCACACAAAATGCCTGTATATTTTCATATACCTGTTATGCCTTTTAAAACAGTTTAAGTTAATAGGCCTGCTATTTTTCTGCTTCAGCCTCTCTTTCATTACAACCAGGGTGAATAAAAAGCAATTTTTTTTTTTAAAATTAAAAATCAGGGTTTTTTTATTTAAATCAGAATTTTAAAATAACATGCTTTTGGAGGGAAAATCTTTCTAAAGATAGTTTTCTATTTAAGTTACATTATAGTCTAAAGACTATTCATCAGGAAATAAGGATTTGTTTTCAGTTTTTCATGTGTGCTAAAACTCAGTCTAAGGTGGTTTTTTTAAAAAAAAAAATTAACCACATCAGTTAACAAACACGGATACATATGCTATAATGTTATTGTTTTAGTTAAATAAATTGTTTAAATTGTTAAGGAAATGATCGTTTTTCTCCTTCCAATAAAGTACAGCAGAAAAGTTGTCCAAATATGAACAGTTAACTTATTAAGCCTCACAATAATTTCATAATTATCTGTCAATGTATTTCTAATAGTATAACCAAATCAGTAATTTTTGATATAACTGTAAAAACTACTCTGAAAATGTATTATTCCAAAAATGAAACTTTCATCTGGTTGTAAATATTAAGATTATACCAACAAGAATGAGTCTTTCTGTAAAAAAAAAATGATTTAAATTCTTACTGACTAGTGATTTAAATCAAGCCTTACTGACTCGTGATTTAAATCAAATCCACCCAGATTACACCCTTGCAAAATGTTTATGTACAGTGGTACATGCGTTTCAGGTTACAGACTCCACTAACCCAGAAATAATACCTCGGGTTAAGAACTTTGCTTCAGGATGAGAACAGAAATCGTGCTCCGGCGGCGCGGCAGCAGCGGGAGGCCCCATTAGCTAAAGTGGTGCTTCAGGTTAAGAACAGTTTCAGGTTAAGAACAGACCTCCGGAACGAATTAAGTACTTAACCCGAGGTAGCACTGTATTTACCTTTTAGACCTTGAAGGATCTGAGATGGATGGTGGTGGATGTATTTCAAGGTACCTTCACACCCTCCCACATTTCAGAGATGAAAATTGGGGTGCTCTTGTGTATGTGTGATGTGCCTCGAGTGGCACACGACAAATCATTGCTTCAGAATGATTTTGTCCCTCCTCCGCCACCACACATTATGTAATGCTGAAAGCTCTTTTTGGCCTACTACTCCAGATTTCATTCATTTGCTCTGAAATAGCCTGTCTAGTCTAGCACTGGCTTCTAAAAGAGTGAAGCAGGATATATTAGTAAACTTCAGAGTTTTCAGTTTGGTTTTTTTTACAAAAGACTTTAATGTTTAATAAAATGCTAAATGCTAAAATGGATCTGCTGGTTTTTGTTACAGAACAGTTGCAACTCAAACAGAAAAAAAAATTCACAGTGACATCTATATTATCAGCATTGTTTGGGGAGGGGAAAGATGGAAGGAAAGTGGCACCAAGGGATTTTATGTCTGTATAATTTGCATGCCTGTGCCTTAAAGAGATGCATGTCCATTGCCGTCTGGATGAAATACAAAGACCTATTAGAAGGTAAGACCCCGAGGTGGCTATCACCGGTGGAGGCCAAGGCTCGAAAAAGACCCAATATGGAGGCCCATTGGCCAAAATATTGGGAAATAATTGAAAGAACTGGAGATAATTGGAAGTTGCAGAGCCAGGATAAATTAAAAAGTAAGGTGAGAGATTGGTTACATTATGCTCAAATTCAAGAGGTTTTTAAAATGGACAAAAAAGTTGGTTTCCAGGTGGAAAAATCGAAATTGGAGACGGAACTGTTAGAACCAAAGACTAAGGTACTTTCGAGAATGTATAACTTGTTGCTTAAATGGAACACACAGGACGAGATAGTTAAATCTGCCATGATAAAATGGGCACAGGATGTTGGACATAACATTATGTCAGAGGACTGGGAAAGGTTATGGAACACCGGAATGAAGTTCACGGCATGTAATGCCTTGAAAGAAAACATTATGAAAATGGTATACCGGTGGTACATGACCCCAGTCAAGTTAGCTAAGATATATCACCTGTCTGATAATAAATGTTGGAAATGTCAAGAGGCAGAAGGGACATTCTTTCACCTCTGGTGGACCTGCCCAAAAGTGAAGGCCTTCTGGGAAATGATTTATAACGAACTGAAAAAGGTATTTAGATATACCTTTCCTAAGAAACCGGAGGCCTGCCTTCTGGGCATGGTGGACCGGAAGGTGTCAAAAAAGGATAGAACTTTGTTTATGTATGCAACTACAGCAGCAAGAATTCTCATCGCAAAGCACTGGAAGACACAAGATTTACCCACACTGGAGGAATGGCAGACGCAGTTGATGGACTATATGGAACTGGCTGAAATGACTGGCAGAATCCGAGATCTGGATGAGGAAATAATAGAGGAGGACTGGAAAAAATTTAAAGACTATTTGCAAAAACATTATAAACTGTATGAATGTTAAGATTGTGCACGATTAGGAAATATTATGCTTTAGCAATTTGATTAGGTAAATGGTAAAGTAAGTGATAACAAAAAAAAAGAGGAGACA